TTACTCAAGTACGGAAAGTGAGTACTTTTGCCATCTCTGCTGGAGCCAGTGAAGTCTCCTCATTTTACAAATTTGTGTATGATGTAATGGTGTGTAGATGTGGCAAGCTGTATGTACAAAATGCTTCTCTAACTGGTATTCTGGACCAAAGCAAGCCCGATGGTAAACGCTGCCATCTGTAAGCCGAGCCATATTTCTGGTCTGAGTACAATTACAGTTTCTGTCAAAATCTTTTCTCATGTCTCATAGACATTTAATCCATCCATCCATAATCCGTCGCGCTTATCGCAAGCGGGGCTGCGAGGAGTGCTGATGCCTAACTCCAGCTGTATACGGGCTAGAGGCGCGGTACACCTTAGACAGGTCGCCAGTCCATCGCAGGGCAAAAAAGAGACAAGCAACCATTCACACACAAACCTAGGAGAAGCCAATTAACCTAACAGTCCGGTTTTTGGACTGTGGGAGGAAGCCAGAGTGCCCAGAGAGAACCCATGCATGCACAGGGAGAACATGCAAACTCCATGCAGAAGGAACCCAGGCCAGGAATCAAACCCACAACCTTCTTAATGCGAAGCAGCATTGCCACCCACTGCACCACTGAGCAGCTTAAACAGGAAAGCTTAAACATTTAAACACAGAGCTTTCCTTCACACAAGTGTCTGCCCTTTCATACGCAAAAAGAATCGCAAGATGAAAATAATCCTTAAATCTTAAGTATATGTACCAATTACCAAAGGCATCTACACAGCAAAGCAAATATGCACGGCATTCTGATCAATTCAAAGAACACATATTCCTAACACACAATTTTTTTACAGTGCAACATGGAGCCTAGGTGGAATATCAACTTAAGAAACTCATTGTGTTTTTTCATAAATCCACCTCGGACACAGCCAATCAGCTTTGAACCTCACCTCCACGAAAGCCAATCGGCATCCAAAGCTAATCTTAAAAGGTTCCAATACGCACCTGTCTGCTCCTGTGCGCAGGTGGTGGATGCGCTGGGAATTTATTCAGATTACACCGTTGCAACCCACCTCCAGCCCCTCCTCCACCATCGTAGCTAAGCTTCATCAGAGTGTCATTCCTCCCGGACTCATCCTGCGTTCCGTGTCTCATCTTAACCGCTCCGGCAGAAGACCGCCATGTTGAACCTGGTTCTGCCAGAGGTTTCTTCCAAACAAGGAGATTTTCCTCTCCACTATTGCTTCATGCTTGCTCATCATGGACAGGTTCTCTCAACCTGTGTTATCCAACTGGACTTCCAGGTCCCTTAGTGAAGCTATAGTATCAGCTCACTCAGTCCACTGGATCTCCCCATAAAGCTCAGCATACCATCTCGCTAACCAGCAGTCTACAGACTGACCAACTTCATCTATCTCCACCACCAGTTTCAGGCCTGCGGGGAAACAGCCCTGTTCTTTACTCCTGTTCATGCATATCTATCAAAATTAAGCGCTATGTTTCCTGCAGAGGTCTGAGCACCAAAGACAAAGTAATTGTATCAATAAATTTCTCCAAATGGTCTTTTCTCTTTGTGTGAGTTTTTCAGATTGAAATGGTGTTGGCAGCATTATGATGTGGGGAAGTTTTTGGCAGGCAAGAGGGAACCTGGTCAGATGATAGATGGAGTTAAATACTTCTGGAGGAAAATGTGTTGAATTCTGCAGACGACTTGAGACTAGTACAGAAATTTACCTTCTAACTAGAAAAAAACAACCCTACACATTCATCTAAGGCTAAACTTAAAGCATTCAAGGTCAAGGCCTAAATCCAACCAGGGTTCAGTGAGGATCTAAAATTGCTCTTTACAGATACTCTCCATCTAGTCTCCAAGCTCAACATTCCCCAAAAGATTGACAGCTGTATTTGCCATTAGCAATAACTAATTAATTCAGTGGAATTGAAGAAAAAACACACTCCTCAACTAACAGAACTTAGCTCCCATATGTTTAATTTTCTTTCATCAACTCAAAAATAAAATACTAAAAGTCAAGAAATCCCAATAGCATATAACAAGAAAGGTATATAAAATTAAACTTTTTAGCTAAGAATATCTGTACCATCATGCCCTGAATTAAAGTCATGTTAAGCATGTTTGTGTCCTGAGCAAGTTCTGTGATATTCAAGTAAGTATCCAAGTAAACAAGCCCTCTGGTTGTAGTTTGGTCTTACAAAAACAGAAAACCTGATTTTCAAAGACGCAATGAGAAGATGTGATTACTGTCTGTAAATCCACCCTGAAACTTAGGTGCCAATTTTGAAGGGAACAAAACTGAATTACCTTCCAATCTCAGCTGGTCCTGTGCACCTGCACTCCGCTTAATACAACTTATGATCCAGACATTACATAAACCTCTTAAAATCCAAATAAATATACGGTAAATCTCTAATAAAAAAAAACAAAAAACAATCCAATTCCTCTTTATTAACATTGATCTGTTCAATAATAACTACAAATGAAAGAATATGATGAATGTGTTCCATTATTAATAACTTTTACTCTATGATGGAATTTTAGTGACTTTGGAAATCCTTCAATTCTTTATAATCAAAACTTAGGTTTTGTTTGTTAGGTTGTCTTGGAGATGAGCTAGTTATAATTGTGACCAGATGAGAACAAGCTATCTAGCCTAAATATGTAAACACTCTCCCTAAAAATGTCCAACTATCCTACTTACTTGAAACCCATAAAGTAATTTTTCTTTTATAGGATGATGTTAAAGGTAATGCTAACTTTCCTTATTCACTGCTCATTAAAGATAGGCTTGTAAAATGGATTGTTCTACATCTGTTCTTGTGCACATCCTTGTGTGTTTCAAACTGTCTTATTTACACAAACCTTCCTGTGGAGAGGACACTGCTTTTGGGTCATCTTTTAGTTGCGGTGTTTTGGGTTTTCCCTCAGGAGTATGTCATCTGTGTCTTCAAGTAATCAGCTTTTCTTTTACAGATATGGTAAATTTTAGAATGTCTACGTAATAAAAGTAAGTCAAAATAAGTTTGATATCTACAGCAAAACTAGTAATCACAAATTCTTATACAACTAAATCTATTTAAAAGAGGCTTCATGAAGGCTTAGCATTATCTTGCTACCACTTACAATAAACATGACTGTAAGGCATCAGGCTGTTTCTCTCCTAAAGGCTTGTGCTACACGAGTAGAGTGAAGGACAGCATGGACTCTTTGAAATGCCAGATTTTATGCAAAAATCTCATAGTCAGTGGCAAAATAAAGGCAGAACTTTTATTTCATTATGTTGCTCTTCTTTTTTAATAACCTATAAAGCGTTTCATCATAGTAATCATGTAGAGCATTGAAGCATTTATATAGATTTCAAAATGACAGTAACTAAAAGAAAATTGGAATTTAAAAGAAACATAAAAAACATGTTTATTATGCATTAAATTTAGGTGAGCGCAGACTCCTCCAGTTCATAGATCAGTAGTGGTAGCCTTTCCTATTATTCAGTAAAAAGGTTGGTGAGCTTAGCAATAAACGATTTGTTTACCAATAAAACTTAGAAAACTTTTTTTTTCCTCTAGCCCCATCCGAATAATTCAAATCTGTAAGGATTATCCAAATAAGACTGGGAGTTAGAAAAGAGCTAGGACTAGGAAGCAGGACACTTCCCAGTGCATTTGTGTTTTTGTAATAGAAAGCTATTAGTTCACTACATTGGTGTCACATTTGTTTTTTGTAGTTCTTTTTTGGAAGGCTGTAGTCCCTATTTGAATAGCATTGGTTGTTTGTTTATCTGCTCTGTAATGGCATCCATATGCCTAAAATGGTAAAGGGTAAATGGCCTGTACCACCCATTGTGCTTGAAAGTTTACATCCGCTTCCATGAAAGACAAAGAAAAAACAGCTTCCAGCAAAAACATATAAATAAAATATATAAATAAAACTTGAATACATCTCTTTCTCTCTTCATATAT